CTTCAAATAAATTTTTATTTAAATAATCATTTGCACATTCTGTTTATTACATCTTCTTGCAGAAGGTGTATTCCCTGCTTCAATAATTCATTCAAACCCTAAACAAACTGTTCCTAAATAGAGGTAGGGTCGAAATTCCACAAAAAAGGACGCCATTTTGAGGGTAATTTTGATATATTTTCTGCTTTTTCTCTTATTTTGCTTTTATAACAGCATCCTCCTTGCTCATGCAGCTTCTTTGATTTGTTATTGAAACATACACAACGATATCATGAGAATTTGGTTGGCTATCTAAATTTAAATAACATTCTTGTTATGGCCCCCCTGCAGTGCACCACTAGCAAAGAATGACTGATATATATATATATATTTGTGCCGATTTTCAGAAACTACACAGACCTAACCTATAATTGGCAGGTGTTACCATTAGGGTCCTTTTTCATCTCCGTGAGTTTGGGGTCAATCAGTGCATTTTTACAGGAGCAGCGACCACTAGATGCCGAAACTGGAAACTCTCTCTAATTCTGGAACCGTTAATGCTAGAAACCTCTTGTTTTTTTTTTTTTTAATTTGATAGAGCATGTCAAGCCCAACACTGGAGGTGGTGTCTGTTTATTTATTTTTTTCTTTTTTAATTTCCCGTACGGTATACGAGTTACGCTGAATCAAAAAGTACATTGTGGTGGTGAAAATACAATGTGCATTACAGTAATATGCATAAAATTTTGAATGTTAAAATGACCTTGTGTTTTGTGCAGTCTCCTCTGATAACTATCAGCACAGCATAGGTAGCAGTGCCTGTAATTTCGAGTAAGTATTAACTGTTTGTCTAGATTAAGAACATTTTGGAAATGAGAAAAATGTAATGGTGAAGTTTATCTTGCTCTAATCCAACTCAGGCCATTTACAGTGCACAGAACGTGTAAGATTTTTGATATAATCAGTTGTCTAACCCCTCCATTAGTCATATTCATTGATGGAATTTGGGTCATTTATTAATTCCCAAGTGAACTGCCTGCCAATTTGGAGTGATGTCAGGATGTGGATAAAACTTCCAAAATCTATCATCTAAATTGACTGTTGTTCTAATGAATTTTCATGAGTTAAAATATTAATGCATATAATTTAAACAACATGCATGCAGTGGTAACTTGTGAGAATAATATGAATTTAATAACATTACTGGAATATACAAATGATGCAATCCAATGATTGAGATTCTGTTCATTCTATCGCATGTTTTTGAAATCTTTCACAAAGAAATTAAACATACAGTTGTCTGATTTTGATTTCCTTTGGGAATGTTCCTCTGTGGCTGAAATCACTTTTGGAGTTGGAAATTCTATTTATCATAATAATACAGAAATTTTGTGATGGAAATTGAGCATTGGTTTCTCTGAATGTTGTTTTCACAGTAATGAGATAGACCTGTGAATTACCTTGAGCATACTAGATCATTCATTACATCATTATATATCCAATATCAATCAGAGGAAACATGTTTTATAGTAAGGGGAAGCAAGATGTCATATGTAATGAATTTTTAGAATTGTAGGATTAAGTTAAAATGACAAGTTTCCTGGTTTACATGCTTTATCTATTCCACGGACATGTGCTTCTGCCAGATGTTGGATAATTAGATTTATACCTTAATCAGAGGTCAGAAAGAATGTACATGATTAAGGTTGGGCTGAACATCAGTGATGGGAATTATCCACAGATCTGCAAACTGATTAGTTTTTTGCCTTGGCAGGAGTCATTTTTCTAAATAGTGTCAATTGATCCAAATCAAGCACCACACTGGTTTATTTATCAGCCTATTTTTCAGTCATGTCTTTCTCATCTTAGATACATGTTTTTTTGTGCAGGAAAATATGTAAAATCAGTTGAGCTCATGGTGCATGGCAAAGGTTTTTTCAAGGTACATATATACCCCTTGGTGCTCTTTTATCAGAAAACCATGGATAAATTGAAAAGTATCAAACTCTGAGTTGCAGAGTCTAAGAGAATCTTACCTCTATAACCTGCTCACCATTTTTAGTTACTGAACCAAAGCAAAAAGTGTATACAGGGTGAAAACATGGGATGCTGTAGTTTTAACATAATTTTACTTTCCGAGGCTTTTACATTTATAGAAAACACCAAATCCATGAAATTTGGGTATTTTTTTTTTCGTGAAAAAGACAAAAAAGAATAGATAAATGTTTTCAGTGTGCATTAATTCATTCTCAATAATCAATTAAATATCATAAATTATGCAGAAAAATTGTAACAAACAAAAGTTACTCACTTCACATTGATCATCAAACCTATTGATTTTTAAGTACTATTTGAATGATTGTCATTGAAGTACTGCTAATTGTGTTAGTGATGCATTGTGACTTGTGCCATTGACATTTACCAAAAAAAGTTACTCTTGATGATTGTCTTCACAAAGACCATGCAGGGATAAATGGACACCTATTGCATCCTGGCCTTGAATTATTTATGGACATTGACTTTTTATCGGCAAGGAAAGAGATATTATCTCATCATATTATACTGGAAAAATATGTAAAGGAAAAAAATGTTGTGGATTTTATCATTGCAAGGATGTCCAAATGCAAAAAAAAAAAAAAAAAAAAAACTCATTGGTAAATTCTTCTTATCTTAACAATGGCTGACATATACCAATACAGGCAGCTCATTGTCAAATCAAAAATCAATTAAAATATATTACATGCAATAATAAATGCAAATCAAGCACAGCAATAGACTGAAAAGTATACAATTGTAAAATCACTTGTCTTCTATGTTTGTCTAAAATCATGCAAAAGTATTCTTTTATTTTATTGCTAAATTTACAGAGAAAACATTTAAAATATTACCCTTTTCATAATCTTTTCTTTATTTTAGGAACTCCATTTTGGTGCTTACTGGATATTGTCCCTATCAAAAATGAAAAGGGTGAAGTGGTGCTTTTCTTATGTTCACACAAGGACATCACGAAAGAGAAGGTCATATCCATGGACACTGATGCAGGTAAGGTTCCACTTGTCCAGTCTTATAGAAAAATATAATTGTCATCCATGGTCTGTCACAGATATGAAATTTTCAAAAATAAATCACTTTGATTTGAGGTGTTATGATATCTGTAAATTACTAGGAAGGATAAAATCCAGTCATTTTTTTTTCTTCAAACTATTGGTAATCCCAGAAGTGAAGATATTTGATGAATTACATCAGTACAGTCTAATATGCAACAATCAATATTCTTGTTGCCATGTATTAATTAATTGTTAATTCTTAAATAATATGTTATTTGATTAATCTGTCTTTTGCAATGGATTAATTGACTTAGTTTTAATTTGTAATTAGTCATGAGGGGTTTCCTTTTAGTAAAAGTGACCTGTTTCGATCATATTACAAACCTTTATCTGTTAAATGCCTTGTCTTTTGTATCCATTTTAATGTATGTTGTGTGGGAGGATATAGAAGACATATATGTCATATAAGCCTTGGAAACCTACTGCAGCAATTTTGTACTGTAAAACATTGAATAATTATTACTCAAACATACATACCATAATATCTGACATGCAGTTGAGTGAGTGAGGGAATGAACAAGTGAAAATTGTTTGAAGGAGGAAATCAGGCCAGGTAACAGGTTATATATTTTCATGGAGGTACTTAATATTAACACAGCTTGCTATCCTAGAGTTGGTGGGAAGGCAAATGTGTGAATGTGTGGGTGAGTGAATGGGTGAGTGAATAAGAGGAAGCATACCTGTCAACATTGACAAATGCCAGAGGGAGATTTCTTCACATCCCCTTACATTTCTCACACATATAGTGCATGTTATACATAGTAGAAAAAATATAAAATAGGACTTATAATGCAAGGAATTTCATGCAAATCAGCGACCATCATCACAGACTAAAGAATCTTGTTGTGCTTGGCTGCAGAAATAGTGAACTTCAACTCTACATAATTCAGCATGAATGTGGCCATAGACTACATGTTACCTTTTTTATGTACAGACACAGATGTGTCTGTACATATTGCCATCACCTGCGTCTGTCACCGTCGCCGTCGTCGCCGTGCACTTTCCTTGTAAACACGATAAGTGGAAGACAGTTTTACTTTTTGGCTTTATATTTACAGAGTTGATGAATATTCATAAAACGCACTTTTCACTTGTTTCTTTTTAAATTTTTCATTTTTCAAACTGGCATTTTCAAGATGTGACTTATCATTCCCATCCACCAGGAGCCCTGTACTGTTACTTTGTAACATTTTCTGTATTTTTTTTAACTTACAAGAATGATTCTTAGGATTGACATACAGCCCAAATTAAAAAAACAGCTCTATTAAATTATATATATATATAACTATATATATATATATTAGTTTAAGCAATTTTTTTTGTGAAATTTATCTCATTCTGGCATTTCCAAAGTATGAACTTTAACTCTTATCAGCCTGAAGCCTAAGGGACCATTTCTAGACCCTATCACGCTAACTGTGGATCGATCTATCTCCAAGGGAATTCTCGCTAAACTGCAATCAATATAAGTGGCTTAGCTGTCTGTCACGCCTACTGAAACTGGCATGCCAGAATCCTAAGCTGCTTAAGCTGAAAGCAATTTAGTGAGAAACCCCTTGGAGTTAGATTGATCCTGTTAGATTGATCTAGGTATGGGAACTCAGTCTAATGCTTGTTACACATTTTACTTTCATCCAAATCCACTGTTATGCAGAATTAGAATTTGATGTTGGCTATGCAGTTACAGTAAGCATAATACATCAGTGCATCAGAATTGACAGTATCCTATTTTCTGCATTTTTTTCTGGTTTTTGTCTGTACATTTGACAGCTTTGCTGCCTTGTTGTTTGATAAAAACTTCCTTCACAACTTTTATTGGCCACACTCTTAGAGTGCATTCCCATAGATTTAGATCGATCCATCTAGATCGACCTAACTCCCTGGGGGTTCACGCTAAATTGATGTCAGCCGAGCGCGCATGGTAGTTAATTACCCCCTTACAGCTTTTAGTAGGCAGGAGAGTTGCTTAAGCCAGCTAAGCTGACAGTAATGTAGTGAGACTCCCCACAGGGATATATCAATCTAAAATCTGTGGGAATGAGGTCTTATTTTCTTCATGAAGCCATGATGTGAACCTATTGTTTTGATGCACATGCAAGACGTGATTAAATGTGTTTGTTTGGATAGCACTGTGAAACAGATTTGTCAAAGCTCAGCTGATATAGTGACCAAAAGACAAAAAAAAAAAAAAAAATACTGAGAGTCATTCTCATAAGTTGAAAAACTGATAGATAAGGATATTTTTTTTAGTCTGAATCTGGAAGTTGGGAAGTATCCAGTCATGAGGACCTGTTTAGAGCAGGAAAGTTTACAGGTCTGTAAAAGAAATAACAGTAGAAAGAAACAAACAAAGGATGATAAAACATAAGCTTTAACACAAAGTTATGGCAGGCATGCACTATATTACGATCCTCCACCATTAAACTATAATCACGTGAATGGTGATATTTCCAGCCTGCAACACAAGATAATGGGACAATGTCGTAAATTCTTAGAAAGTTGTAGGCTTTGATCATGATGAACAGGCCTATACCCAACTGCCAGACCCAGCACCAAAGGATCCAAAATTCACCAGTAGACTGGATCACACTACCAGTTTCAATGTGTGTATCAGTACAGGATTTGAAGTATCAGATGCGGCACCCTCTTGCCTGGTACACTGTGTGATTGCAATGATTCTGAGCAGGGTTGGAATTAGTGCATCTCATCAAGATTTATGCACTGCCTGCTATTTTCCCTGTTCTCTGTAATTAATTGAACAATACAGTGATTTTTTAACATAAAGTTCAGGTTTGAGCACAGTCAACGATATTATGTAAATGACTAGGTGCAATCTTTTAATGTTAATTTAGTATCATAGATCTAATTCTATCAGTGAAAGCATATATCCTGTTAGGAGTTAAATAAAGTTTTCATGGCTACCGGGATGGATGCATTTGATGGAGCAAGCTTGTATGATGAGAGTTTTCTGCTAGTGTTACAAGATGTTGCCATATTGTTGAAAATGAGTCGCGGTACCTAGATGACAGGTTGAGCTTGCGGGTGTCGTTCAAAATTTGTCCTGGGGTATGATACTGTGAAATGCATACTGATACACACCTTGAAAACTGGTAGCGTGCTCTGATCTACCAGTGAATTTTGGAACCTTTGGTGCCACGTCTGATAGTTGGGTAGGCCTGACAAAGAGAGTGGCATTGTCTCTCAATGTAAACAACGTCTTGTATTTGACAGCTTTTTGGACAGCTCTACCATTTTTGTCTTTGGTATATTTCTTTGCAATCTTAATGCTGACTATATTGTCACTTGTCCTAGATGATGGCTGATGCCAGTGAGCCAGTTATCAGTTTAATGTGCCAACTTGATGTTCTTGTGGTCAGAGCCTCTGGCTCAAAAGTGGTCGGATGTGGGTTCGATCCCATCCTGGGACATACATGTACTAGTGTTTCATTAATGGTACCTGTTGTTTCCCTACGTGGTACTCTGCACTGGGGTTAAAGCAGGGGTTAAATACCTAGTCTATTAGTGGAAGGTATTGTTTGAGGGGCCCTTGTTTGAATGCTAGCTTTCAGTGTTTCATACAGCAGCTGGGGTGTATCCTCCACAGGGGGGTGGCAATGCTTACACCCAGTTGAAATCAGGTCTTGGTATACTCTGCAGGAACCCTGCTACTAATTTGGCTATTTTTTACTCTGTTCTCTGTTGCTGACTGTAGCAGTCGGACTACTCTCACTAGGCATTGAGCTGCATTATAAGATAGAGGGCCACACCAAGGTATGATGGATCTAGCAGTGGCACTTTGGTCTTCTGCAACTCAAGGGTCCCATTTTAGTGTTTCCTCAGATGGTCAATTGATTTCCCAATACAACTACTAGCTTATAGTCTTGCATGGATATTTTCCTATCTCGCAGAATGTTTATAAGTTTGTTTTCGGGTCACGTCTCAGTGTCTCATTTTATAGATATTACACTGAAGGATTGGACACCATTTTGACATATGTATGATTTGGTGTCCATAATTACCATGGTCTTCCTTTGCCTTATGAAGTAATTTGAAAATTAAGAAGTTGGCCCATAATCTGGCTAGTGAGCAACTGAGTAGGCAGGTAGATAAATGAAATAATAAGTGAATGCATGATGAAAGAATTGAAACAGTGGACATATGGAGGAAGAAATAAACTATTGAGGGCAATAAGTGAGTGAGCAATGAGGATGTATTAGTGAGATAATGAGATAATAAATGATTAAAGAAGTGAATAATCAAGTGTGATGGTTGATGAGGCAATTGAATGTTCAGTGAGTGGGTTGCTTTGTGAGCTATCTGTAGGTTAAGGTACTCAAAGCAAAGAAAGCAACAGTGCCAGCTTAAGCCAACAACATTTGACATATATATATGTATAAGACTGACTTTTGGTGTGTTTTACAGACCATGGTTGTTATTGATTTACAGCCCACAAAAGATACAGATATGGTATATTATCAGTATATATCTGTTGATCAGTTGGGCATTGTTATTTACTTAATTGGGTCTATAGGAAAAAGTGCCTAGGTTGATATCCAATATCTTATGGTCATTAATTAATATATTTGGTATATAATGGCAGGTGTATTTGTATATGAAATACTGTGTAGTCTTATGAATGCATGCTAAAACCATGCATTTGTTTTTCTATAGGAAGAAGTGATTTAATGACGTGTAATATTGTAAATCAATTGTGAAAACACATTGTGTTAGGGTTTGATCCTTTAATTGTTACCCTTTCTCTTCACATCCTGAAAAGGTAGTGTGAAAAGTTGGTTGTGTTGTCTCAATGAGAGCAAGTTTGTAAATAATTAATGGGTGTTTAATTTATCACCATGCAGCACTTAGGAGATTGGATTGATTTCTGGGACCTTTCAGTCCCTCCAACCCATATGTCAAATGGATATTTTGGTCAAGTTCCTTTATATCAATGATTTATAATAATAATCCATAGTGTGTCTCATGAAATAAAGTTGAATAAAGGAGAAGCTTTATACCTGGTCATAATGTATTATTTGTCATCTGTGTGTCAGCAACACCTTTTGTTTGCCAACTTTGCTGCTAAATAGCTGAAATGGTCAAGTAGTAGGAAGCACATAAAACTGAGGGCAAATAATGTCAGAAAAAGGTACCATCAAATTTGCAAGTATATCCAAAAAAGAACAAGGTATGTACATCAGTCACATGAATTATGAGTGAATTAATTACATTACTGATATTTCTCATGGGATGAAGAGTTTAGTACTTTTTGGTACTTAGGTAGCAGATCATGCAAGGAGAGACTTTGTGTCCAGTGGTCCTTGCATGTAGTATTTCTCTAGAGACAGAAGGCCAGTATATTTTCCATGCATCCTTTGACCGTTGATGGGAATGTTATTGGAATTGATAAGATTTTACAAATTAACATTGGAAAGTTCTCTGAAGGGAAAGGTATACATATAATTTAAGGTGTTAGAACCATTGAGTGTCTTTCTCTGAAACTACTTTGAAAAGCAAAAAAAGTCATATCTTTGGGATAAAAAACAAAGTCTGGGATATCTCCAAGAGACATGTCAGTAGTTGAATTTTTACCTCTGGGGCCTGTCAATGCCTAGAGACAATTAGATGTATAATGTAGACCACCTACATGCCTGCGGCAGTCTTCAAATCATGCAATGTCATTTTGGTGTTTCTGTAATTTTCTGCATCAAAATCGTATAAAAGAATGTATTACCACCCATTTCAGAGATGGGTAAGGATTATTTTCTTCCGTTGAAGTTATTTACATGGATTGGACGTGTGAGGATGAAGCATGGAGTCATATGATGAGAAAAAGTGATTCAGTTCCCCCCTCCCCCACAGTTTTGCATATTAATTTTACTTTTTTTTTTTCAACCGTTCCAGTTATAGAAAATTATGAATTATAAGTTAGTGCCTACTTATGGTTTTAGTAAATATAACCTAGCTGTCAGAATTTCAAGATGTTTGGTCTTTTTTTATTTTATTAAGAATCTTTTTCAGCTGTCCAAGGGGACAGTCCCACCCATGACCCAGATCTACTTGAATCTTCCAACAATGACATCAAATACCAGCGGCGAAGAAGTCGGGCTGTGCTTTATCACCTCTCAGGACAGTTCCAGAAACCAAACAAGTCCAAACTCCAGTTAAATAAGGTAAGCTTGTAACTACTTAGTAAACGTTCCTTTGCTTTTTTATATTTAAATCAGTTAGGAAAGAAGCTTACTGGCAGATGCTTTAAGTACAGATTAACAAGTTTGTTCTCAGGACTGCCTGTTTTGTGTGTTCTCAACAAAGTCTCACCTTACACATGTACAGCCAAGTACACATGTATGTGTAATGGCCTCTTTGCAATTCCACAAATGAAACAAATGCAGAATTGTCTGTAAATAATATAAATAATAACAACAACTTGTTCTGACGGATTAAAGCAAAAGATTTTGGATAATCTGTCTTACTGACTATTTGATATCTATTTTAATTGTTAAAGTCATAATACTTAATTCTAGCAATAATTAGTTGCAATGTCAAATTAATTTTTCAAGACAAATCATTAGTGGTGTTATATAATAAAAGGGGCCTTGATTGGCCAAATCTAGAACAAGCAATACACTGTGTTGTTTGTTTGTTTGCTTGGTATGGATGATAGTGTGAATGTTTGTTATAATTTGGTCTGGAGGAGACAAAAAAATGTCCATCTGTTTTTGAAAGTTAACTTCTATCATGCTGATGAATTATTAGGGTATAAAATTGTCAATGCTTATTTATGGAGCAGTTTTGGCTTTACTATCTTTTCCCTGTCTTTTCTGAAATAGTTGGATAGTAGGCTTAAATTTTTTTTGGAAATTGGCAAATACATTCAAAATGTTGTATGTAAGAATTGAGTATATGCAAAATAAAGGGCTTATTCAAGGATGTACATTTTATCGCTTTTAAAATAATGCTCAACATAAGATGACCAAAATTGTTAAGTTTTATTCTATAATTGAGCCAAAAACGATATAGACCAAGACACAAACACAATTTAATTTAAGATATATGTTATTTGGTACTTAGTTTTTTTGCTGAGGATCAATATATCTGCTAGCTTTGTTTATAAACATTTTAGGCCTGAAGTCTCCTATTTATCCCATTTATATTCCAATTGGCCAGTTATAGCCAAGCAAGCCTAAAAAATATTGTGATACAAGAGTTTTCTTGGAAATGGTAGCTAGGTTTGTTTCATGTGACACTGTATGACATATGCATGTAAATGATATGGTTAATAGATGTAGCCTACTGTGAATTAATTTGGTTAGTTCCTGGCGTAGTGTTTTTCTCTGACAACTAACTTAACTGTCTGTTTTCATAAGTGTCCAGGTTGAGGATGAGTCTGCTGATCAGATAGAAAGTGTGATCAATGTGAATACCTGGAAAATGAATGTATCATTTGATCAGTGCATACATGACCAAATGCATTTTTGTTTGCCTTTCTTTTTTGACTGAAATGAAGATAGAGGGTGATGTTTCATCATAGGAGAAATGACACTTAATTGATACAAATGCAATTATGATTGAGAAATCCATGTTGTGATAATACAATGAGACGACTGACCATTTAGTTTAAGTAAACAGGATGACCCCTGCTTGAGATTTCCTTGATAAAATATACTGTTGATATATTAGAAGCAACAGGCCTTTCCTAAGTGAATAGATGCAATTCATTGATTTTGACCAAGGTTTATCAATATATAGAATTGTCAGCTTTTCAGTCAATGCACCTGGGAGTTATGCTTCATTTTCAACATTTATGAGACCATCAGACTTATGGGATTTTGTCTGCTGTAGTCATTCATGAGAACTAGTAGCCAGACTGGCTGTCTGTAAAAGAAAAATAGAATTGTTCATTCAAAAAATGAAAAGATGAATAGAACCAGTTACAGCAAATCGAAAAGGCTAACCATGATATGACCCTCGGCAGGCTGCCATATGTTGGACTAAAATTTACCAACCATATTCTATTTGGCCATTTTTCTTTCCATTCAAATAACTTAAGAAATCCTCTATGGCTTAAAGAAGATTAGAATGAAATATAGGCTAAAGAGACTGTATATTAAACCTTAAAGGGCACTGATCAGGGATGAGATTTTTCTGACTAATGGCAGATTTCCAACTTTTTGGGAGCTCCTTGACCCCACGCCATTATTTTCCAACTTTTTCACTAAATGACAATCTGATCCCTGAATGATGTAGATTTCTTCCTCTAATGCAGTATTTTTCACTCGGACTCTGTCTACATTGTGTAAAAAATTTTTCGTGGAAGATGTGTTCTCTGTTCATTCATGTAAAATGACTCATAAAATAGATCAAAAAGTTCAGTTGAATTAGTTAAATAGATTTATCTTTTTTAACTTCTAAGAGCGTATTTAGTTTTTTATGCCCCAACAAAAAAGGCGGGATGTGTGGAATGAAAAGAATGAAGCAATGGTACATTTTCTTTCTCTCTCAGACTAAAGGAATTCTTTACAGAGAGGAAATAAATGTTGTTACAGAGGAAAAAGTACTGCAATGTGACCAGTTTTCACTTGATTATCTGTAGCTTTACTATTTTAGTTAGGGATCAGATCTACATTGAACTGCATGGACTGTCCAAATGACTTTAAATACCAATGTTTGCTTATCTGTTGTTTTCAGCTCCAAAACCTTTCTGGTAAAAAAACTCTTCCTGAATACAAAGTACAAGAAGCCCACCGACCCCGACTCATTCTTCTCCACTACAGTATCTTCAAGATAGCATGGGACTGGCTTATTCTTCTCTGTACATTTTACATCGCAGTTATTGTCCCGTTTAATGCGTGTTTTGTGGCAACCCAAGAAGATGGGGAGCGGAAGTCTCTTGTCGCAGATGTGATAGTAGAAATGTTATTTATTATAGGTAAGTCACAATGTCCTCTTATTCTGTTGGACTAAGTTTTGGTTTTAGCTGTAAATTTTTTTCCGTTTTGTTTGAACGATAACTTTCCAAGATATCAGATAAAAATGATGTTTTGAATTTTAAAATGAATTTTCTGTTGATTCATACATAAAGAAAAGTCTGTTAAGGTTAGGGGTTTCTCAAGAGCCTACTCTTTTAACATATGGTAAATATGCATCTAGCACATAGTTAATGTAAATCAGTTTCCCATATAGATTATATTTTATGATAGTCAACTAGCTTAAATCAAGATTTAAACATGCTTAAGAAAAGAAGTTGAATAAAATTTTTTGCCATATTTTGCATTGTTTGTTTGCAGCTTTTTTTTTTTTTCTCATGTACTTTGTTTTTTTTTCTTCCAGATATTGTTTTAAATTTTAGAACTACATATGTTAGTAGTAGTGGGCAAGTCATATATGATCCCAAGATGATTGCCATCAACTATATCAAAGGCTGGTTTGTACTGGACCTACTAGCAGCAATTCCCTTTGACTTACTGTACATGTTACAAGTGGATACGGTAAGTATTCATTGACACCAGAACTTGGGAACCAATTACAACCTGAATGCCACAGGGGGAAATTACATGAATTGCTCTTAATAACAACTCAGAAGTGGATCTTGAACCACTTTAGTGTAGCTGTCTACTTAAGGAGTTGGTGATTGCTTTACCAAATGCTAGGTCCACAGCATATGGTCAAGCAGTCAACCTCCACTGACTGAAATCAACTTTTATAACCAAAGCTACTTGTGCTTGTCTCTAATTGTTTGGCAGCCAAAGTGTCCACAGATTCATGCAGAACTAACAAAAAGTAAAAAAATTAAGTGTTCAAGATGGTGGCTTATGTGAATAGACCCTTATATTTG